AAAAATTTTTTGCAGTGAGCCAAGATCACGTGGCTGCACTCCAGCCTGGGCGACAGAGTGAGACTCCATCTAAAAAAAAAAAAAAAAAAAAAAAAAGACCTAGTGTCAACAGAAAGGAATGCCTGAGTTAAGATAAAGGATTGTGGCAACCCAAGTTACTGTTTGCAGAGGAAGCCTTTAAGTACTAGGCTTTAGACAGGATAGTTTGTAAAATGTTTCTTATCTTACTTAAAGTCTGTGCTGATGTTAATGCCAAAGAGGTATACTGAGGCATGTTTGACCCCCATTTCCCATCATGGCCTGAAACAGTCTCTCAGGTTAAATTTTTAAAAAGCCCTAGTTGAGAAGGAAATCCATTCAGATGGTTGGGGGGCCTTTGAATTTTATTTTTGGTTTACACCAGTAATCTAAAAATCAAGCTTTTGTCAGTAACCTAAAAGTACACTCTCAATACCAGTACTTCGAATTCTTATTCCAGACAGCACCTGCTGAGTTCTTAAAATGCATTATTTTATTTCATCTCCACAATAATTCTGTGAGGTAGCAAATATTACTCTGTTTTGTAGATGAGGATACCATGGCTCAGAGAGGTCAAGTGGTTTGCCTGATGTCACACAACTAGCAAGTGCAAGGGCCAGGATTTCAACTCAGGTCTGACTCTAGAGTCTGTGCTTGTAACTACCGTGCTATGCTGCCTTCTGCTCCCTTGAATTACTGCCAAGTATGTCAAATCTGTTATCCTTCATACATTAGTAAGTGACTAACATTTATTGAACACATTTATTATTGTGTATGCCAGGTACAGTTTAAATGCTCTACATGTATTAACTTGTGTTAACCTCAAAACAACTGTATACCTGTTTCACAGATGAGAAAACTATGGCACAGAGAAGTTAAATAACTTGCCTGAAAATAAAGAGCTACTGAATGGAAGTGGAGCCAGGATTCAAACCAAGGCAATCTGTTGTGTTTTTGTTTTGTTTTTGTTTTTGTTTTTTGAGGCGGAGTCTTGCTCTGTCACCCAGGCTGGAGTGCAGTGGCAAGATCTCGGCTCACTGCAACCTCTGCCTCCCAGTTTCAATCTATACTCCTGCCTTAGTCTCCCAAGTAGCTGGGATGACAGGCGCCTGCCACCACACCCAGGTAATTTTTGTATTTTTAGTAGAGACAGGGTGTCACCATGTTGGCCAGCTGGTCTCAAACTCTTGACCTCAAGTGATCCATCTGCCTTAGCCTCCCAAAGTGCTGGGATTTTAAGTGTGAGCCACTGCACCCGGCTTCAAACCTAGGCAATCTGGCTCTGAAGCCCATGTTTTAATCATTATGCTATGTGGCCGCCATTATCATTGTTATCATATGTCAAAAAAAGGTATTATTACCTACTTAAGGCATTACATGAAGAATTCAGAAAGCTTTTAGTATGGCTCTGTTGACCTGATGCTTCTTTTAATAAAAACTCTTCACAGTTATTCAATATTTAAGAATTGTTAAAGAACGTAAACTGGGCCAGACATGGTGGCCCACGCCTGTAACCCTAGCACTTTGGGAGGCTGAGGTGGGAGGATCATGAGGTCAAGAGATCAACACCATCCTGGCCAACGTGGTGAAACCCTGTCTCTACTAAAAATACAGAAATTAGCTGGGTGTGGTGGCGTGCACCTGTAGTCCCAGCTACTCGGGAGGCTGAGGCAGAAGAATGGCTCGAACCTGGGAGGTGGAGGTTGCAGTGAGCCGAGATTGCGCTGCTGCACTCCAGCCTGGGAACAGAGCGAGACTCCATCTCAAAAAAAAAAAAAAGAGTGTAAACTTACATTATCTCATTTGATCCTTACGAAAACATAGTGTAGTAGACAGGACAGGCACCACTGCCCCGATTTTACCAATGAGAAAACTCAAGTACAGAGAGGCAAGTTGTTTGCTCCTTGTCATAGAGCTGGCTGATAAAGAAGCTGGAACAAGGATGATTATCACGCTCTTTCTAGCTGGGCAAACTGAAACCCTGAGTTTTTCAGCTTCCTCACCATTATGTGGTAACAGACCTGGGTCTTCCTTGTTTCTTATGCTTTCTTCCTCTGAGCCTTGGCACATTTCACATTTTGAGGAGAAGCAGCATGGTGGACTAAAAAGTAGAGGGGTCGTGGAGCCAGAAAAGCCAACCTCCTATTTGAGCTTTCATTCTCACCTACAAAACAAGGATAGAGAGGTAGCCTCCTACTCACGGGGTGCACAAGCCAGTCTATGTAAAGCACCTGACACTTGTGGATTGCTATGGTAGATTATCAGATGTTGGAGCGGTGTCTTGCACCCCTCATCTATAGTCATCCTTGGTATGTGGCTTCCTTTCTGCCTTATACACATATGAGCTCATCAAAGTGGTTCCTGTGTGACCTCTTCTTCATAAGGGTCATTTTGGGTTGAATTATCACAAAATTGTTTCTGAACGTCTCATTTGAGCCAAGCCTGAACTATCTTTCTCTTAGATATAAAAATTCATTTTCCCTGAATATCTTGAAATCTGCCTCCCTAAAATATAACATATACGTCTGGTTTGCCCCAATCTAAACTCTTAATGTACTTAGAATCTGTACATTTCAGTTTAGCTCTGAATTATACAGTCTTCTTTACATTGTGTTAGATATCTTACCCCTTTAATTATAGTCATACGCAATTTGAGAGCAATGGCCCTGTTTTATATATTTGTGGACCCACAGTGCATGGCACTGTCCTAGACACGTAATAAATATAATTATGAGATCACCAGAAACTCAGAATTGGAAAGGACTCTAGACCTTGTCATGCAGTCCAACTGCCCCATCAGGGCAAGAATTCCTTATAGATGGCCATCTAGCCCCTGCTTGAACACTTCAGGGCTGGGAGCTCACTCATTTGCAGGCAGTCTGTTCTACTTACTGTAGGATGGTTCTCTCTCCACCCGCCTCTTTTTATAAAAGAGATACATTGTCAGAAGACACACTGTCAGATTCTATTGCAGAGATACAGAGGAATCCTGCAAATTGTCCTCTGACAACCCTGTACCCACCTCACTGTAAACCGATGTCCCACAGTGCCTCTCCAACTCCTGCATAATCTGACCCAGCCCCACTTACTCATTTTGTAATCTTAGGTAAGTTATGTCACCTCATTAAATGTCAATTTCTTCATCTTTAAATGAGATAAAAAATTCCAACCTCACATGTTATAGAGATTAAACATGATAACACATATAAAGACATGTTGCCTATAGCAAGTACTTAGTAAATACTAGCTGACATGAATGGAGAGTTATAGCAGATGCTAGCCTGACTGGAATAGCCTAATAAGGCATCCTGGTTGAGATGAACCTGGAGCTGTGCATTTAAGGGAGAAAACTAGGGAGTTCATAGAATAAGGGAGCATTTGGGAAGGATAGAGTTTTCTGCTCAACCTAAAAGTACAAATTTAAATGCTGCAAGTCTAGTAGGGAGGAGGGTCAGGAGGACCCTCTAGCAAAATGCACAATTTTGACATGGAAAGTAATTGGGAATCACTCTAGGTTTATGAGAAGTAGAGTAACAGGATCACAGCAGTAGGTCTTTAAAAAAGAGAGTTCCTGCTGCTATGTGAAGGTTAAAATAGAAGCAAAGGAGCAGACTGGGAGACAACGGCTGATTTGGATGTGGAGGACCAATCTTTGACATCTAGGATTTTTTCAGTTCTACTACCTTTTTTTTTTTTTTTTAGTTTTTTGTTTTGTTTTCATTCTGGGCCATCAGCTGGTGGTACATCTAGCAGCCATCAGGATTGATGGTCTATAGAACCCTACATCCCTTATCCTAATAGGTTGTTTCAAATCTGTAATGGGCCAAAAACCAGACAACCAATCTTTGTTTATCATACATTCACTCACTTATTCATTCATGTATGAATACATCTATCCACAGCATTTCATTTTTTATGTATCTAGTATTTTATTACTATCCATAGTAACAACAACCACTGACCTGACTAGGCTCTAGAATAATTTGGAAACGAGTAAGACATAGCCATTGCCTTTAACGGGTTTATTAGACTTCCGAAATAAACAGATTTAAAAAATTAACTCTTACACTCAACAGACTTTGGAAGTACCACAAGAGAGAAATGAACGAAATTCTGTGCCAGGGGTTGAAAACAGAGCAAATCGGGCTGCATTTGGCCAGCAAATGTTTCATTTGGCCCACACAGTGTTTTGTTTTGTTTTTTTTCAGAGTAGATGCTAACATTTAAAAATTAGGCCATTTCACATAAAAACCCAGATTCCTAGCTTCTGGTGAAAACAGGAAGAGCTGAGCACACTAGGCCAAATTCCTGCATGGTGGTAATTGGCAGGAGCTGAGCAGCAGCTGCCCCTTTTAGGACAAGCATGAGCTCTGCAGTTTGCCACACTCCTTGCCACACTCTATTACTCTCTGACATTGAAGCCAAATGTTCAGTTGCCTATCATCAGCTTGTGATATAGGTACGTTTATAATAAAGTTAAAAATAAAATGATTTTTTAAAACTCAAATCTCTATTAAAAGTACAAATGAAAGATTCACTGATAGGGCTCTGTGTTTCAAGAAAAATGGGGTATAAAATACAAGAGTATTCCTAAGGAAAACATACAATTCCTAATGTTTAAGATGCAAATAGACATCTCCCATTTATGTTACCTGTCTATCTCCTGCAGACATTTGAGTTTGCCACCTCTGTAATATAAGGAAAAATTAATGTAGGGGCTGAGAGCATTGACGTAGGAGTGAGGAAGACCTGAGCTTGAAAGCTGGCTCCACCCCTCACTGTGTGACCTTGGCAAATTACCCACCTTCTCTGTGCTTCAGTTTCCTCATACATAAAATAGAGGAAATTATAGTACCTACCTCAGAAAGTGGTGAACAGAGACAACGAAATGAAGGATAAGAAGTGCTTAGCGAGCACCTGGCACATAATGTCAGCTACCACTAGTGCCGAACACAAAAGAGAGGACCCGTCTCCAACGTGAGCCTTGAAGGATGTGCAGGATTTCCGTGTGAGATGAGGAGAGAGGGCATGCTTCACACAGAGAAAGATCTCAGAAAGGACTGAACCAAAGACAAGTAACCTGCTCCAGTGGCCAGAACAGAGGCTTCACAACAATGCTGAATGATTTTCAAAGTCAGGCCGAGACCTATCCCATAAATAAGTGTATGACAAAACAGACTATATTATAGATTTAGCCAATAACAATGGAATAGGACATTAAATAACTGAATCAAAAGGTGACAAAGTTATTCACCTTCAATTCTTTTTCAAACTTCCCAATTAGGAGAGCTTGTGTTTGATGCTCATTTTGAGCACCTTTCTGATCATACATGCCAATCTCCAATTTTAGAGAAACGAGATATCAGGTTTAAAGGCTCCCTAGCAACAACAGCTAGCTACAGCCTGTTCAGTTTTGCTTCTCCCTAAGTTTTACTTTTACACTTACAGCAAGTGACGCTGATTTTATCTTAACACTTAGAGCAAGTGACACTGGTTTTCATAAATGGAGTAATAAAGTTTCCTTGTAAAATGTGAAATCATAATTAAAATAAATGAGACAATTTAGAGAAAAACGTCAAGTAAACAAGAGTACAGGTACTATGTGGAAGTGGCAAGAACTGTGAAGCTTGAGCAGCTTCGTGCTGTGTCGTGGGTGTGAAACGAACCCAAGGCAGCGACAAGGCCAGACCGTGAGGGAAGAGCCGCCTCCACCGGCACTACCTCCAGGCGCGGCACCTCCCTTTGCCGCTCTCCAACCCTCAGGCGTTTCGCCAACCGCCAAGGGGCGGGAGGGTGACCCTGCAGTCTCCCAGGCCGGGGTTCAGTGCCCTCGGCCCAGGCAGCAAGCTCGCTGCCACCCTCAAACACGCTGCAGTGGCTCGCGCAGTCCCCGCTTTTCGCGGACCGCCCGGCTTCTCACCAGTGCTCGGCTTTATCTCTCCACGTCAACACGGCCCTCATCGCGGCTTCCCTTACGCCTCGGGCTCCTCCTCTCCGCCTCAGCGTCTGTCTCAGCAACCGCCTCACTAACGGTAGCCACGCCACAAGCCACTTTGGCTACCTGCGTTACCCCTGGCAACGTACATGCGCGGTAAGCTGAGCGGGAGGTCGCCTTCCTCCGAGTGCGCATGTCCGAAAGGCAAAACGGGAAAAGCTGCAAAAGCTAGGGTGGAACTGGAGCCCCTAAGGCATCAGCGCAACCAGAGCGCGCGCGATTGGTTGGGGTTTGTGGGGGCGGTGCGCCTTCCTCGACAATGGATTTGATTGGTGGAGCGTGGAAATGGCGGCTGTAGCCGAGGGGGCGGCCGAAAAGCAGGGGCGGCCGAAAAGCAGCGGCGGCGTCTGGGCCACTTTCGCAACATTCAAACCTCGGTTGCAGCCCGGTGCCGTGAGCTGAGGTTTCACGTCTTACTCCGCCCCACACCCAGGGCTTCGCAGCGCTGGGCTCGTTGCTGCAGCCGGAGCCTGCTCGATGGGCACGACTGGGTTGGAGAGTCTGAACTTGGGGGACCGCGGAGCTGCCCCCACCGTCACCTCTAGTGAGCGCCTAGTCCCAGATCCGCCGAGTGACCTCCGGTAAATTACTGTTCCCTTTTGGGCCTCAGTTTCACCGCCTGTAAAACGGGATCGGGAGAGTGGACGGTGTGTGGGCCTTTCTAACCTTAGACAGAGGGTCGGCAGAGACCTCGAAGCCCACGGGTTTAGTTACTAGGGGCTGGAGCTCAGGTGCTTTTCCTGTGGGATCAGTCCAGGGGTGCGCCCGACTTCCTCATCCAAGATGACTAGGGAGACTTGAGGGGGAGCCGGGAGGTTTTGTGCAACAGGTCCCCTTGAGTTGGAGGATCCTAGGAAGTCATTTGAGTACATGTATGATAGGAGGTTAAGATTTACCTACTTTTTTCGAAATTGAATCCTAAGAACTACTTTGAAAGAGGCATCACCTTCTTTTTACAGAAAGTATTTTACAGAGACTTTGAGATGTTAAGTAACTTGCTGCTAAACTTACAGCTGGCAGAGCTGGGATTTGAGCCCTAGTCTCGTTAATAGTTTGTGCTGATTTCACCAGGCTTCAGTATCTTTATCTCTAAAATTGTAAACAGTATCATTTCATAAGATCCGCCCAGCTCCGCAAAATTATTTTACTCCAACTTACATCAGAAAACCTTGATTCTAATTCTAGTTCTTGCATAGTTTCCCTATTTGTAGAAAATAACTTGGGTTAAATGATCTCTCTAGACCCATCCAGCTTTTACAATCTGTGGTTTAGTGATTAGGATACACTTTACTGAAATTTTTCTTTTTTTAATTTTTAAATTATGTTTTCATCATAGAAGACACACTGGAACATTAATGAAGTTTTAGTTTAGTTTAGTTTTTTGTTTTTTTGAGATAGGGTGTCACTCTGTCACCCAGGCTGGAGTTCAGTGGCACAATCGTAGCTCCCTGAAGCCTTGACCCG